CCTTAACCTCTCTTCTTAATTTTCTCTCACCCCACTCCCTGCAGTGACCTCTCCTCTTCACTGCACTAAACTCCTCATGGTCTCCATTCTCCAAAATGCCTACCTAACAGCCTCGGTCTCAGTTTGTTGTTGAGCTCTGGCCTGAGAAGTGGGAGCACTTGATTCCTCGGGGAGAGTCACTGCCCTTCTCTGGGACACTGTTCCCTTGATTAAAATCGCAGGGCTGGGTTACCAGAACACCAAGCTTTGTAGCACTGGCTTTGCTTTCTGTGATTCCAACCTGGATTCAGGGACCTCTGGCACACAGTTTAGCCTGTCTGCAGCCATGCCCACGGAAGACAGCACTAGCCGATCAGGGCATTCTAACTGCTGAGCCCTGTGGGGCCCTCGGAATCTTTCCACAGGGCACCTGCCAGCCATCACCAATCAACTCCGAGTTGGCAGTTGAGATTAAACGGACTTTTCTTCATTCCTGGCCAGCGCCCTGGGTCTGGTGAGAGACAGAGCAGAAAGGCACCAGAGGATACAGTCAAGGTGATGGACATGTGGCGGGTGGCAGGGAGCAGCACAGGGCAGTGGCAAGAATGTGGGGCAGTGGTCCCTTGGGGACACCCAAGAGGGGCACAAAGATGCTAGGGCTGTGTCATTCCTGTCACATCAGTCCCTCTTTACAGGTGCCCAAGATTGGCTTCACCTGGGAAGCTTTTGGACCCAGCCCTGAGGATAAGAGAAGGCGAGGGAAGGCATCAACTACAATGTCTGTGTCATTGCAGTTGGGCTGCAGCCAGGGGCACAGGGACCGGTTGAGCTGGGCTGTGACTTCTCTGGGTCATCATGAGGTCCCCGTCCACTCTGAGGGCACAGAGACGCTGGTATTAAGCCTCGGTTCTGAGGCAAGGTCACCAGGGTAGGAAGCCGTGGGCCTGGAAGCCAAAGGTGTTTATTTCAACCCTCAGCCTCCCATCCCAAGGAAGCGGGAAGCCTGTGTGTTCTAATCACAGCTGACAGCATTCCTCAGGCTGGTCTGTGATAGAAACACTCCCATTATGTAAGGGGGTTACATAAAGCGTCTTGTGACATCTGCATCACATGTCCACAGAGGCACTGGTCAGGCTTGTGTGCCTCCCGCCCCATGTTTGCTGAGTCCGGTGGTTGGACCTAACTCTCCAGGTCTGAGAGGGCTGGGCGTGTCCGCGTCACTGGAGCTAGCAGAGCCCCCAGGAGGGAGTTAGGGCCTGTGTGTTGGTTAACGGTTGTCGGTAGGGAGCAGCATAATGTGGTGGTCGTGACCGAGAGTCTGGCTCTGGCTGCCAGCACCCAAATCCCAGCTCTATCATTTACTGGCCAGGGGACCTTTGGGCAAGTCTCCTAGCTGATTTGCGCCTCAGTTTTCTTATCCATTAAAGGCAGTAATCACGGCACCTGGGAAGAACAAATAGCTTAATCCATGTTACAGATGTCAATCAAGTGGTCAAGTTGAGCTCTGAACTTTTCATTTGATGACTATCCCGAGATTGCAAGACGGACTTTACGAATTGTCATTTCAGCTCCTTATCTCTCTAAATCAAGATTTCCTAAACATTCTGCAGCCAAAACGGAGTATGGCTGAGGTCAGACCATAATCCATTAGCCCCGATTTCAAAGGTCTCTATCATCAAAACAGCCTCCTTGTCCTAGTCCATTGCTTGCAAAAACAAATGGAAAGTGTGCATTTTCGTGTGTAAAATAAACCTGTAGTCACAGCACACGGCTGTCGCTGTTTTACATATTGGATTCCCACATAATAATTTTTTTTTAAGATTTTTATTGGGGAATTGGGGGAGGGGAACAGTGCTGGGGGATTGGGGGAAGGG